CCCCCCCCCCTCCTGCAGGCGCCCGTCCTCAAGATAACCAAGGTCGTAGCCGACGGGCTGCACAGCCCGCTCACTATGCACGGCGGCTGGCCAATCGTCGACGGTGTCGCGACCTCGTACAACAGTGCGGCCGTCGTCGCGCGCAACAAGTACCTCGTCCCGCTCGTCGAGGCGGCTTGCCCCTCCCTCGGCCGCCTCGTCGTGGCGGCCGTGAACCCCAAGCCGATGCACTACATCGATGGCGAGGTGAGCCCTCTCTCCCGTCCCAAGTTTATGTCACTTGTACTTGTCCCCACTCCTCCCCGCCCCGTCGCCCACTTTCGCTCCGTCGCTCGACCAGGTGGTGGAGCCAATCGCATCGCTCGAGGTCGCCGCTGCCGTGGCCGTCACGGTCGCCGCTACGCTTGGCGTGATCACGGCGCGCAAGTAGTGCGCGAAGCGGCGCTAGCTTTGCGTCCTTTGCGTCCTTCATTGGATCCGCATAGCGCGCAAGAACGACCTAACTAACAGGTTGTTTGACGCCTGCCAGCCCCGGCGGAAGGCGCGCAGCTGGTGCGGGCGGCTCGGAGCCGCCATGGGACGCCAGCACAAAGTCTGCGTTGGCGCGCTGCGCGTGTTTGCGTGCGCGCGGGGACGTACGTGCGGTTTTCACGCGGTGTGCGTGCAGAAGGGCATGAGTGGCGCGTGGGAGTGTCAACTGTGGTAAGGTAAGGTGAACGTAAAGCCGTGGTAAACTTCTCCACACACACGACTCACACGACACACGTTACCCGCCCCCCGGTCACATTGGCTGCCGGGGTGTGCCGAGGAGGGGCTGGGTGGGCGGTCTTCCGGCCGCATACTCTCGTCCCCACCCGGCCAAGCAGCTGCTGCCCTTCGCCGAGTTCACGTCCAAGAACGAGTTCCTGCATCAGGCGCAGCGCGGCAGCGGCGCTTCACACGACGGTGGTCCACAACGGTGCAGCGCCGCCTGGGTCTTCCCCTCGACGTGGCTTGCCAGGCCGCGGCGGCGGGCAAGAAGACTCGGAACAAGAAGTACCACGACGAGTTTGGCGACGCTGCTGTCAACGTTCCGCAGCAGGGCCACAACATCAAACACAAGTACACTCTTCAGCGCCTCATACTCGCCCTACGCGCCGCGTGGGGCACAGCTGTGCGAATGGAGCTCCGACAAACCACCTCGGTCATAGTAAGTTACAACAAACAACCCGACGCGGACGCGTGCAACATTGGCGGGGGCGGCAGGCACTATTCCGGCGATGTCAAGGTCGTCTGCCCCCTCAGCAGCAGCGGGGAGCACGGTCGGAAGGGCGCTTTTGTCGCTTTCGGCAACACCGAGGCGGTCTACCGGAACATGGTCGTTGGGCATGGGCCCTACTGCGAGGAGGGAGAGGGGGGGGGGGGGGGGAGGGGAAGGAGGGGTACCGGGGCCAGGGCATGGAGGGGGAAAGGAAAAACAAGGGCGAAAGGGGGCAGGGGACGGGTCGCTGGCATACTAGGGGGGAAGGGTGGTGGGCGGCGACCGCCGCATACCGTCCTATGGCGGCGAGTATCGCTACGCCAGGGAGGACAAGGACGTCGACGTGCAGCTGCTGCTGTTCGAGTCGTTCGGTGGGTTCGAGAAGGGGGTCGGCGAGATCCTCTGGAAGGCGGCGAACGTGCCCTGCTGCAGAACAAGCTGACGCGGGCCCAGTACCTCGATGAGGTGACATGGACCACCAAGAATTGGCTGGGGCTGCAGAAGCAGCGCATCTCAGTCGTTCTTCACACGGCAATCGCAGAGCAGATTGTGAATGAGCTTGCCTGCGGCGAGGGCGGTCGAGTGCACGGACTAGAAGTGTTAAACTCTTTTTGGAAGGCAGCAGCTGCACGTCGAGAAGAGATTTTTTTCAAAAATCTCTCTCTCTCTCCTCTCACGTCGACGTACGTCCTAGTCCTCCCTGGCGCTGTAACCCGCCTCCCAAAAAGAGTTTAACAAAAACAACTCTCTCTCACAGCAGACAGGCTCGACAAGGTGCGGACTGGCGCTGCTAGCACTGCTGCTGCTCTCAGGCCAACAACCCGGAAGAAAAACGCAATCCAGGTTGCGTGGCTCCGACATCACAACCGACGGTGCCCCCTGCATCGTCGACTCTCGTTGGTCCTCAGACTTGCGCCGATGAAGACCGCCAACGTGAGGGCTGCGACCTCCCACCTCAAGAAGATCTCGAGCGTGCTCGCCATCCTTGCAGGCTGTGCTCTTCTCAAAGCGTGTGCGCCGTCCTCCAGTCTCCTCGAACGATCTGCGCCTGCCGCTCCGCTTCGCAGCGACTGCAAGGGCGCGAACTCGTGGATACAGGGCGGCATCTCAAGCCTGACGCTTGACGCGGTGACAGCATTTGCTGCCTACACGCGCGAGCACGACATCCTCCCGCGTATCGCGATCTCCGTCCCCGGCGGAGAGACCAGAGTCTGGAACATGACCATCCCGTCTATCAGCAGCGTCAAGGTGCGTGGAGGCCTCTGCTGGGACGACTACGAGTGAGAGCTGCTCCTCCCGCCAGCTGCACTTCTCCTCCCCCTCCTAACTGCCTCACGTGTTGCTCTCCTCAGGTGGCACAGGACCCAGGACACCTTCTGGCGCACGGTCGGCGACCTTTCCAAGCCGCCTGACGGCGTGCAGATCGCGATCGACGACATCTCCGCCGTCGCGGAAGCCAACTTTCAAGTCCGCGGACTTGCTGGCGTGACGCTCTTCGAGGGGCGAACGAAAATCGCTCTCTCTGGCAGCATGACCATCTTTGCCAACCTGCGCTATCTCGACGGCCAAGCCATCGACATCTGCGACGGCGACTTCGGCATCGACTCCTTCCACGTTGACATGGCAGGTGCTAGTAGTACTACTTAATTCCAAGATCGGACCCCTATCCACGCCCAAGCGACTGACATGGCAGGTGCTTTCAAAGGCACCACTGAGCCTGCGGTGGTGCAAGCCGTCATCAGCAACATCATGAAGCCGCTGGTGCGCGAAAACGCCGCCTCGATGGTCTGCGAGGGTCGTGTCAGCCCGATGTTGCGCTTTCTGGGGCCTTCGGTCGAAGTGGACTGGTCGTCCGCCCCCCCTCCCCTCTCCGCCACACCGCCAGGCCACCACCTACGCACGCCCCCTCCCTTTTCAGGTCGTCCATCCCTTTAATGGGCGGCAAAAAGCCGTTCAACGGGCTCGCCAGCGAGGTCCAGTCGCGCTTGCGCGGCTCTCCCGTCCTCCGCTCCCTGCTGGGAACGATCGGCACCTCGTCACCCTATGAAGAGCGTCGCGAGGCGGCGCTGCGCGACCAAAAGCGCCTCGCGGAGGTCGGGGTAGATGCGCCGTTTGGCGAGGACCGCTTCGTCGACATATCGCCGATTGACAACTCGATTGGGGCTAAGATGATCGACACGGACTACTTGGCCTCTGTCGATGGAGGCGTGACCGAGGCGCTGGCCGGCACAACGCGGGCCGGAACCTACCTGTGGTGCGCGCGCCCCTCCTCGCCGCGACCGCGCCACGGCCGCGCAAAGCCAAACCCGCACCCCTGCCGCAGGGGCTGGGACACAAAGGAAAGCATCAAGTCCCTAAAAGGGCTTTCCGTGAACAACCCCCTTATCGAGGAGGTGGCGCTCGGAGGCAAGGCCTCTCCCTCCGCGGTGGAATGCCACGACTTCGCCGCCACCGAGCCGCAGAGCCGGTCTCGGCTCCGTGCGCTATACCGCGGAGAGAAGGGAGCGGAGGCGCCCGCGGCTCTGTGCACAGCAAGCCAGAGGCTGTCAGTCGTCTGCGATTCCACAAGCTGCGCGTTTTACCTGGGCAACCACACCGATGGGCAGGCTCTCGCCTATTTGCGCGCATCGAAGGTAGGAGATCTCCCTGGCACTGTTGAGGCGGAGCTAGCTTCGTCGGAACTGGCATTCGGGCCGCCTGTGCCGCCAGCACCAGACGGCACGCCGCTCTATCAGTACGGCGTCATCAAGGCCTGGCGCGACGACAAGGGCAGGCCCCATCCCAAGCGCTTCGTCTTTTCGCGGTGGGTGCGGCGCTCGTGGCCGTTCGACGGCGAGGTGGAGCTGGAGCCCATGCTTGAGCTTCGAGTCATCGCGTCGCCCTGGTGGTGGGGCGGGAAGAGCAAGTCGGCGAAGGAGCATCCCTTGACAGACTTTCGAGTTCTGCGTGCAGGATCGGACGATGTCGTGGCGGCGGTGGGCGAGACCAGGCCGCTCGCGCCTGACTGGGCGTGGCGCGAGTGGGGCATCCGCACTGCCAGGAAACCCTAATTTGCGCACCAACGATCCCGACCCCCTCCCCCCCCTCCCCATCCTAAACTGACACCCCTTGAACCTCACCCAACAGCGGTGTCGACGTGCTCGGTCTTTTCGCCGTGTTCAACCACGCGCGGTACATGTCGGAGAACATTTGGCGAGTGAGCTTCGACGACATGGGGGTACGCGCGTTTTATGCATGGATGAGCGCCAAGGAGTTCGGGCATCGCGAAATCTCCAAGGCCAACAAGGCGATCGAGGCGCTCTTCTAACGGCGGCATTGTGCAAAACATCGCATAGCAAGGCGACGTCAACACAAAGCGCCGGCGATGACGAGGTTGTGACGAGAGCGCAGGCTTGCGCACAGCGTATTATACTAGTGCCCCCCACACATCGCCGCGCGAATAATCGCGCTGCGCACATGCATGCGACCCCCGTGCGTGCGCGATCCGCGAATATGCCCGCGGATGTCCGTGGCCCCTGGGGTTCTGCGACACCGCCGGACCGCTGGAGGTGCGACTCTCTTGTACGTTTTGAGTCTTCGCTCTGTCTCCCACGGAGGGTGTGCGGAGATCGAGATCGTGGGGGGTGCCCCTGTACAGAGTAGCCGTGGCGCTTGGTTGCGTCAGATGCGCGCAGCGCGGGCCGCGCGGCGATTCGGAAGCGGCAAGCCCAAGCGCGTCCGCCGTCCCCGTGCCTGGGTCGCCCCGCTGCGTGGCGGTTCACGAGAAGGAGGTTGTGAGCGTCGCTGACGCTGTGTGTGATCTGTGATCTGTGATGCATGGTCCGCCCGCACGCCGCACGCCCGCACTCTACGGATAAAGTACTCTATCAGTGGCCACCACGCACCTCTCAGAGCGGCGCAGGCGCGTGTGGTGTCAAAAATACGAGTTTTGTTTTTGAGAGGGAGAGATTCTCCCCTCTCTGTGCGCACAACCCCGGAGAACCAAGATTCTCACGCCCCCCTTTTTCACTCAAACTCGCGGTCTATCAGCTCTCTCAGCGCAGCGTCCTTCGACGAAAGAGCGCCCTTCCCAGCAGCCTGCGCCGTCGCCGTCGCCGGGCTGCCTCCCGCTCGCTTGGCGGAAGCGGGTGCGCCTCGCCTGGCCCCGCTAGCCCTGCGCAGCTCTAGCGGCGGCGGTGGCAGCGGCGGCGGCGGCGGCGCCTGGTTGCTTCGCCTCGCCTTTTCACTCGGCGCCCTTCTCTTCTTCCGCGGCAGCGCCGTGGCTCTCGGCCACTCGGCGGCGCAGCTGCTCAGCCCAGTGCGGCTGGTGGGGGAGGGGCAGAGCGCGCCGCTGCCGTTCCCGGCCCACGGCTTGTCGCCTCCCGAGAAGTGGAGGATGCGCCCATCGCCCTCGCCGCCCCGCGGCGCCGCGAGCGCGCGAACCGGCGAGGGTGCACCGCCGAACGGGTCAGCGAGCCCCGCGCGTCGCCACTCCGCCACCCAATAGTCGCGCTCGGGCGGGGTGTACGCGCGGCGGCCGAGGCCAAACACATTCCACCGCGGCGCCAGCCGCACGTACGCGCCCCGCACCGCCGTCGATAGGGCGGCGCGAGGGTCGAGCGGCTGCGCAAAGATCCGGCCGATTGCGTCGGGCGTGCGCGCGTGGATGGTGGCCCAATAGTCGACGCGAGCGGAGACGTCCAGGGCCTGTGTGGTGGTGGTGGGGTGGGGGCGTCCGTTGCGTGGGGCCGTCCTCTGGCGAGGAGGGTGTGGTGGTAGAGAGGCGGTGGTGGGGCTGCGGAGGAGGCGGGAGGGTGGAGGCGGCCTGCCACTGACGCAAGTCTACCACGAGGACGCCGAGGTCGATGGAGCAGCCGGAGGGCGCCTGGGAGGGGGCGTGTGTGCATACGTCGCGAGCGAGTGCGCGCGCGCGATACGCATGACAACGAATGGTGTGTGATCAATACAGAGAGTCTACAGCGCCTGGTTGGGGCGGATGTGCATGTGCATCTCGCGTGCGATCTGCATAAGAACAGCCGGTGGTGTCTCAGAGAATGTCGAGCGCCTGGGACGGGGCGGCGAGCTGCACGAGCAGCGACTGGTTGACGAGCCCCTCCAGCGGCCGCGAGCAGTCCTCGACCGCCGCCACTGGCTTGCCGGCGAGCGGCGTGCGCCACAAAGGTGTCAGGTCCGCCTGCAGCATGGGGGCGGGGAGGCGGGGTGGCGGCGCAGCGGCGCATATACGCTGGCGGCAGCGGCGCAGGGTGGAGGCAGGGTGGAGGCAGGCGTGGAGGCGGGCGTGGAGGCAGGCCTGGACCAGCGCGTCAGTGTGGAGCCAGAGGAGACGGCGCTGCCGCGGGAAGAGAATCGGCAGATACGCGACCGCCCAGCGCTGGTACTCGCTCTCGTCGTCGGGTGAGCGGTCGGCGTCCTCCGAGCCGCCGCAGCCGTCGCACGCCTCTCGCCCGCGCAGCGCGCGCAGGCGCGACCGTATCTTTGCCTCGGCGCCGGAGGGCGCCAGCGTGGCCAGCGTGAAGGTCGCGGCGGGAAAGAGCTCGTCCAGGTGGCTCAGTCGCCCGTGCGCCTGCTGCGGTGCGAGGACGTGGAAGGCGATGTCGGCGCCCGGGTTGTGCGTGAGCGTCGAGTTGATCAGCGCAACGAGCGCCGCGTCCTGCTTGTCGTCCGTCGACACTCCGATGTGGATTCTCTCCGCAGGCGGCGGCGGCGGTCCCGACTGAGCCGCCGGCACAGGTGCGGCTGGCGCTGGCGCAGGTGCAGCTGGTGCCGGCATCTGCACAGCTGGCGGAGACCGCGTCGCTGGCATCGACCGCGCTGGTACCGCGGGCTCGTGCTGCCGACGAGGCTGCTCGTGTGGCTGGCGTGCCCGGGCTGAGGCCACGGTGAAGGCGTTGAATGCGACCAGCGCGAGCAGCAACGGGGCGATGAGCACCGGCACCAGCGCCGGGCGACATCGCCGCGGCTTGTAGGCTGGCGGGAGCATGCGTAAGTCGCCCGCGCCAGCCCCAAAAATTTTTTTTAAACTCTACTACTACTGAAAATAAAGAAAATCTGCACGGATGGCATATGTGCGCCATGTCGCTCAAACCTGCCCCCGGCGGCTACTTCGCGGCCTCGCGTCGAGCGCGCGGTCGTGGGCGGTGCGCCGCCCCTTTCAGCAGCGCAACGCGCGGCGGGACGACGCGTTTGAGCCGCGGCTCGCTCCACTCGTGCCATCGACCGCCGAGCCACACGTGCAGGCGTGGGTGAGCGACTGGGAGGCGGCGGCGGGGCAGGCCGACGCACGCGCGGGGATCGCGCTGCTCCGCTCCGACGTCTGGGACCTCCCGCTGCGGCCCGACCTCGTCCACCGCTGCGTCGTCGCGCAGCACGCGGCGCTTAAGCAGGTGCACCGCGCCGGCAAGTCACGGCACGAGGTGCGTGGCGGCGGTCGCAAGCCGCGGCCGCAGAAGGGGACGGGCAAGTCGCGCCAGGGCTCCATCCGCGCGCCGCAATGGCGCGGCGGCGGCGTCGCCTTCCCGCGGCAGCGGCGCGACTTTGCGATGTCGCTGCCGCGGCGCGTGGTCGACGCGGGGACAAAGGTCGCGCTGTCGGACAAGTTGCGCCGCAGCGCGCTGCTGCTGGTGGGGCGGCTGGCGCTCGACGAGCCGAAGACGTCGGCGCTGCTCGAGCGGCTGCAGCGGCTCGGCCTCTCGCTCCCGCACACGCGCGCGGGCGGAGGGCACAAAGTGCTGCTCGTTGGAGGCCGCGCCGAGATCACCCGAGATCCGCCGAGATCAGCCGAGATCCGCCGAGATCCGCCGAGATCAGCCACGAGGAGCATCCCAAGACAGGTCGCGGGCACCTCGGGGCCGGGCCGTCCTCGCTACTCACCCGCCCTCCCGCCGCGCCTGGTGACGACCGCTGCGCAGGTGACGACCGGAGCGACGAGTCGCAGGCGAGAGGGGGGGGGCAGATGGGGATGGTGTGGGGAGGTGTGGGGAGGTGTGGGGAGGTGCGGGGAGAAGTTCCGCCTCTTGGGCCTCGAGATGTGGGGAGAGATGGGATGGTGTCGTTCCGCCTCTGGGGCGTGGGAGCCGAGCGAGCGGCGAGGCTCGCGGCGCGGGACATGTCCACGACACGTCCGAGACACGTCCGAGACCTGTCCGAGACCTGTCCGAGGCTGTCCGCAGGCGGCGGCGAGGCTGGCGGCGAGAAACATCCCGGGCGTGTCGATGTGCCTCGCAAAGGACGTGAGCGTGCTCAAGCTGGTGTCGCACTCGGTGCCCCCCCCCCCCCCCCCCCCTCCCGCGCCTCCCGCCTCTCGCTCGCGATACGGACTACACCTGTCCTCCCGACGGGGGCCAAGGAGAGACCCACCTCGAGACCTCGAGACCTCCCGCCTGGGGCACACCCCTTGGCCCCCACCCCCTCGGGATGCTCGGTCTGTCTCGGCCTATCTCGGCGACTCTCGGCTGCAGGTGCTCCTGCTCTCGCTGGATGGGCTGCGAGACCTCGAGAGCCGGCTCGGCGGGCCGGCGCCGTTCCCGCGCCGCACGTGGCCGCCGTCGGCGGTGCTGCGCGAGTGGCAAGCCGCGAACTGAAGGGGTGCCGGGCAGAGGGCGTTGCGCACCGCCGATGTTGGGGCAACCGACGTGCCCGCGCACCACACCCAGCGGGGTGGGCTAGATATAGATATAGATGATTGTGGAACTCCGGTCGTGGTGGTATGTCACGTTGTTCCCGGGCGGCATTATCCATTAACATTTACAAGGTGCGTCCTGAGGGACAGTGTGTACAGAGGCATGTGTGTTGCCATATGTGGCTACACGCTACACACACCGAGCAGCCAGCACGCCAGCCCCAAAAGCAGAGCAGCAGAGCACGCAGCTCAGGTAGGTGAATGGTGATGTGCAGCGCGAGCACCCACAGCCTCACTCTCAGCAGCGGCCAGCGCCAGCGGTTCCACCTGCCGCGACTCGCAAATTCTTTTTACCCGTCATGCGGTCTACCCGTCATGCGGCAGGTCGCTCTTGCTCTGGCTCGCTGCCCCACCGCGGTGGGTCACCAACGCAAGAACTTCTCAGCGTGCGCCGTCTTCGACCGCGCGACGCGCTCGCCACGCCTCACCCGAGCAAAAGAAGCGATCGCGCGCCGCCGCCGCCCGCCTCGCCTTGCCGCGCCTGCGCCTCGCCTCGCCTCGCCTTGCAGCCGCGCACGCGCTCGCGTCGCCCGCGTTCGCTACCGCGAAGCGACCCTCCACGCGAGTTTCGAACCGGGACCCGGCTCGAACCGCGAACGGTTCAACCACCGCCGCTGGCGGTTCTTGCAAAGGCAGTCAGGGGCAGCGCCTCATATAACGTGAAATAGTGCGAGCGATACTCACCCGACCCTCCGTGCCCTCGCGAGAGAGATCCCGCGCCGCGCGCGCTCGCACACGCCGCCCGAGAGCACTCCCACCCCCGCCGCCCTCGCAAGCTCACAGGTTGATTTGAGGAGAAGCAGCTGGGGGAGGCCAAAGCGGGAGAAGGCGGCACGGCGGCGGCGGCGCGTATTGTGCCCCCCCATCCCCACGCCTCCGGGTCGTGCGTACCGCCTCCGGGCGTGAGTGTCCCCCCAGCGTCTGCTCTCCAGCAGACGCTCCGGTAATCAGGCCGAGAGTACCAGGCAGGAGAGGGGAGAAGAGCCCAGGGAGGGGAGAGGAGAAGAGCCCAGGGAGGGGGGAGGAGAAGAGCCCAAGGCGGCCTCCCTCTCCCTCCCCTCCCACCGGGCCTCCCTCTCCCTCTCCTCCCACCGGGCCTCCCTCTCCCCCGCTCCTCCCGCCAAGCACCGACAGTCTCGAGGGGCCAGCCGCTGGAGGGGGCACGCCAGCGGCACGAGGGCTTCAGCCACACAGCTACCAAGGGAACGCGACCCACACAAAGCACCAAAGTTAGGCATACCCCCCAGCGCAGTGTCCCCTGCGCCAACGACGCCTGTGGTGGCTCACTGTCTTCTTGTTTCCAGTCGTCCCAGTCTTTCAGTTCCCCGCGTCTCCTCCTTGCCTCGCGCGCCTCTTTTGCGACCTCATCCCTAGCCGCTTTGCACGCTCTGCATCCCCAGAACGCACTCACTTGGAGCACTTGGAGTGCAGTCAGCACCTAGGATTTTTTTCCGGGGGGGCTGGATCGTTATCGCGACGCTCTCGGAGTGTGGACGCGTATAGCGTGTATGCCGGACAAGGCTAGCACGAGCGCCGCCTCGGCTCCCACCCCTCCAAAGCACTTGCAGAGCACCTCGGTCCTCGACGTGGATGCCGCTCTCGACGCCATCGGCTGCGGCTCCTTCCACTTTTGGACTGTCACCGCCATCAGCCTCTTTGTCGTGGCACAGTCGATCCAGACGAACCTGCTCGCCTTTCTGCCGCCGTGCGCCGGCGCTGCGTTTGGCGTTGACCCCGACGCCGCTGCTTTGATTGCTTCTGCGTCGTTTGGCGCTTCGTGCATCACCACGCCGCTTTTCGGCGCATGCGCCGATGCCTTTGGGCGGCGCACGGCCACGCTGCTCGCCATCTGTATCATGAGTGTCGGTGGGCTCGCGTCGACAGCGGCGCCCACCTTCGGCACCCTCGTCCTGCTGCAGGCGCTCGTGGGCGTCGGCTTGAGCGGCGCCACCTGCCCCTTCGAGTTACTCGCCGAACTCTCTCCGTCGGCGGCGCGCGGCCGCACACTCAACTCGGTCGCGTGGGCGTGGGCCAGTGGTACCCTGCTCACCGTCTTGCTCGCGTGGGTTGTCCTCTCCGTCACCGCCGAGGACGACGAGGCGGACGCAGGCGGAGGCAAGGGTGGACACCCTCTGCCTGTGCCGTGGCGCCGGCTCGTGCTGGTGACGAGCATGCCCGTGGTGCTCGCGGCGTGCGTGCTGCCTTGCGTGACCGAGTCCCCCTCCTGGCTGCTCGCCCATGGCCGCCGCTCAAAGGCGAAACGGGTGCTCCGCCACATGGACAGCGTCAACCGCGGAGGCGCGCTACACCACCTCAAAAAGCTGCTCGCGCCGCGCCACAAGAAGCCGGCTGCCGCCACCGCCGCCGCGCGCCTCTCGGGCTCCGGCTCCGGCTCGAGCGAGGCCAACCTCCACTTGCTCCGCTCCGCCACGGCGCCGCGCCACAGCCCGACCAAAGGTGGCAACGGCGGCGGGCGGGGCGGACCCCGCGCGTACACGCCGTTTGCCGAGCCGTCGGCTTGCACGCCCGCCGACGGCGGCGCCGACGCCGAGAGCGGCGGCGGCGGCAAAGGCAGTGGCGGCGCGGCGGCGGCGGCGGCGGCGGGCGACCTGAGCGAGCCGCTGCTGCCGGTGGAAGAGGGACGGGCCGGGGCCGGCACCAGACCCGCCGCCGTGGCGCCGCGCGTGACGCCGCTGAGCGCCGAGCAGATCGGCACGGAGAGCCGGGCTGCAGGTGGCTCCTCTGCCGACGGGGTGGGCAGCCGGAGCCTGGAGGGCGCGCCGACGCCAGTGGAGTGGACGTCGCAGCGCGTGGTGCCGATTAGCAAGGACACGCGACTCTCGCGCGCCGCAATCAAGACGTTTGTCGGCGAGCAGGTCGCGAGGCCTATGGCTAATTAACAGCTTGATCGACAGCTTTAATCAACAATATTCATTCGCAGGTCAAGAGGCCGCACACCACCGGCGGCGGTGTGCTCACCTCGTCCTCAATCTGCGGCGTGCGGCGCCAGACGCTCAACCACTGGCTCTGCAACTTGGTCGGCGGGTTCGGTTGGTCGGGCGTCTTTCTGATGAACGCGCTCGCGACGCGCAGCTCCGCCAACGAGTGCAGCTTCGACTACGCGCAGCAGGCGCTGATCTGCTCGATGGAGCTGCCCGGCACGCTGCTCGTGCAGCCGGCCGTCGACAGCTCACGATGCCATGTCATACTTGCGAGGACTCAAGAACAGGCACGCTGCTCGTGCAGATGGCCGTCGACACGCCTCGCGGCCCCCTCGGCTTGCTCGGCGGCCGCCGCGGCGTGCAAGTCGTGAGCATGGCCTTCGCGGGTGTCTCCCTCCTCGCCGGCGCGCCGCTCGCCGCCGGCTCCACCGGCGTGCTCCTTTCGAACATGCTTGCCCGCTCGTGCGTCACCGGCGCGCCCTCGGCGCAGCCGCACCGCTGGCGTGAGCGTGACAGGATTGCGAGGCGTGTGAGCCGCGGTGCCATAGGCGCGAACTCGGCGATGTGCATCGCCGGCCCCGAGCTGTACCCGACGGAGAGCCGCGGGCTCGGCGCGTCCATCGCGCGGCTGTGCTTCCTGCTCGGTTCTGTGCCTGCCGCCAGTTGGGTCTACGCGGACCGGCCGATGGCCGTCATCGCGTCGGGCGTCGCCGTCGCCAATCTGCTTGGCGCAGTGCTCGCGGCCACGCTGCCAGAGACTGCGGGGGTCTTGCTGGCCGGGACAGCGTAGTGTGGGGGGCGCGGGTGGTCAGCGGGCGAGGGTGCAGGCGTGGCGCCACAAAATTTGGCCGAGGTGTGATCATACAAGAGACTTCGGTGTTGTGTTTGTCGGGTGCGTGGACACACATTTTGTAATTCTGGCATTTCACGCCGCCCCCTCAAAGACTGTCCTTTTTGCGCTTCGATCCGTTCGCAAGATATGCCAGCGGAATGACCATTCCGCATTCGCGCTCGAGTGTCGAGACCGTTGCGGGCGCCTTGCGACATCGTGCGAGCGGGGGCTCCACTGTCCACACCCTGACCCTTGAGAGCGTGTTGTAAAAAAGCCGTATGCGCGAACAACGGTCCTCTCACACCGCGACTAGCGTTCAGGCTGCTGGACCGGGCTGGGGAGCGAGGGGCTGCTGCAGCTGGGGAGCGAGGTACATCCTTCCGGTGGTGCCTGTGGCGCTGCCGCATCGAGCGAGCCGACCGCTCGCTCCAAGTAGGCTTGTCGCTTGACGCTCATTGGCTGTGTTCAAGCCGTCCCACTCATAGAATGGAACGCTGATCACCCTCCAGCCAGCCGCGGCGAGGAGGCGCCGCTTGAGCTTCGTTGGGCCGTTGGGCGCGCGCACGCCTTGGCTGTCAGGCAGCAGGAAGTGAGACGGGCCGTCCACCTCGATCGCGATGCGTGACGAGGGCAGCGCCAGATCGAGCGAGTAGCCGGTGCGCGGCTCAAGATGCTCTTCCTCGAAGCCGGACCGGACGGCGCTAAGGGCATCCGAGACCGAACGCTGCAAACCAGAGGGGCGAGCTACGTTCATCTGCATGGCCTCGCGAAAAAGCAGGCGCTGGGAGTCCGAGAGGAGATGCTGCTGCTCTTCTGCGCCGCGTTCCAGGAAGAGCCAGAGCTGCCACTGGTGCAGCTGAGAGCGGTCGTTCTCGCTCCACCTCGACGGATTCTGCGCGAGCGAGTCGCTGATAACGCGCGAGCAATCGGCTAGTAGCACCTGGTGGTAGTGGCCCGCCGTCGCATACGCCCACACCATGTTGGCCAGGTTCTGAGCGTTGAAGCCAGCCAGCCCGCTGCGCACCGCCGCCTCCGCCACCGCCGCGTACAGCGCGTCTGCAGCCACACCCGCTGTCGCATACGACCACACCGTGTTGGCCAGGGCCTGCGGGTTGAAGCCAGCCAGCCCGCTGCGCACCGCCGCCTCCGCCACCGCCGCGTACAGCGCGTCTGCAGCCACGCCCGCTGTCGCATACGCCCACACCGTCATGGCCAGGGCCTGCGGGTTGAAGCCAGCCAGCCCGCTGCGCACCGCCGCCTCCGCCACCGCCGCGTACAGCGCGTCTGCAGCCACGCCCGCCGTCGCATATGCCCACACCGTCATGGCCAGGTTCTGAGGGTTGAGCCAGCCAGCCCGCTGCGCACCGCCGCCTCCGCCACCGCCGCGTACAGAGCGTCTGCAGCCACGCCCGCTGTCGCATACGCCCACACCGTCATGGCCAGGTTCTGAGCGTTGAAGCCAGCCAGCCCGCTGCGCACCGCCGCCTCCGCCACCGCCGCGTACAGCGCGTCTGCAGCCACGCCCGCTGTCGCATACGCCCACACCGTGATGGACAGGGCCTGCGGTTTGAAGCCAGCCAGCCCGCCGCGCACCGCCGCCTCCGCCACCGCCGCGTACAGCGCGTCTGCAGCCACGCCCGCTGTCGCATACGCCCACACCGTGTTGGACAAGTCCTGCGGTTTGAAGCCAGCCAGCCCGCCGCGCACCGCCGCCTCCGCCACCGCCGCGTACAGCGCGTCTGCAGCCACACCCGCTGTCGCATACGACCACACCGTGTTGGCCAGGGCCTGAGGGTTGAAGCCAGCCAGCCCGCCGCGCACCGCCGCCTCCGCCACCGCCGCGTAGAGCGAGCGCACCACACTCACTGGTAGCCGGCACTTGGCCGCACCGTGAGCGATGTTTGCCAGGTTGCGTGCTTCGCATGACGGTATGAGATCGAGCGTGCGCTTCACCAGCCGCTCCAGCTGCTCCTCGTGCCGCCGCTCGATGCGCTGCTTGCCAAGTTTGTTCCACAGGTTCGCAGCGTGGATGTAATTCAACCTCGTGCTGTTGGCAGCGCAGAGCGAAAGCAGCTCGTCAGCGTTGCTGGCATGCGAGATGTGGCCGTTGAGTAGCTTGGCATTGAGCTGACCACCGGCAGCAGAGCCGCCAGATGAGGGCGGCTCGTTGCGCACTGCCGGATTTGGCCGGCGTGAGGGCGACTGCGGCGGACCGCCTGTCCTCGGCGGCGGTGGCAGGGGCGACGGACCGCCCGGAGGCGGCTGAGGCGCCAACCGTGGCGGCGGCGGCGGGCGCTCGTCGCGCCATCGCGGCTCGTCGCGCCATCGCGGCTCGTCGCGCCGTCTTTGCTCGTCACGCCAGCAAGACTCAGCGCGCCGCCAGCTGTTCTGACCGGGCGACTCGTCGCGAGGCCTCTTGAAGCCGGGCCCGCCGCCTCTGAGCGGGACCAGGCATCAGCGAGACGTTCTGGGAAAACTTCGGGCTATCGGGGGCGGTTGCCGACCGACGGGGGGCGACGGGCGAAGACCGGCGAAGACCAGCCCTCCATGGCCGGTTCTGAGGCCTCCGAAGACTCCGACGCTGAGGAGGACGACATCGGGGCCGAAGGCCTGCTTCGCGAGCACGATGAGGACCAGGCAGCGGTCCACGAACTCGTGCAGGACGCCAGCAGGTACACGTACGGTGTCCAGCATATGCTGCACCGGAAGAAGGACGAGGACGGCCGCTGGAAAGCGTGCGAGTCGACCGACCCGCTACGCTCGACGGATTCGGTTGTGCACCGCTGGCAACGCGAGAAAGGATTCCGGCCAGCTGCGGCCGACTTGGCCGAGATCGATTCCACCGCCGCCGTCGAAAGGGCCTGGCAAGAGCAGCGGGCGGCGGAGGCGAACGAGTCGCACCCTAACCGCGTCGCTTCCCAGGGCGTGGCGCCTCGCTTCGCGCGGCGAGCCCGCCGTGCCGGCCGTGCCGTCGCCGCGGCGGTGCGGCCGGGATTTTACCGCCCGAGGCACCGTAGTAGGTGTCGCTTTTCGCGTGGCTGGTGCCGCGCCGACCCAAGGCGTGTGCGGACCTTTTTTAGGCCTCGACGGCGCGGCTCTGCCGCCGCCGCCGCCCCGCCGGCGCCTCGCTTCGCGCGGCGAGCCCGCCGTGCCGGCCGTCCCGTCGCCGCGGCGGTGCGGCCGGGATGTTCCCGCCCGAGGCACCGTAGTAGGTGTCGCTTTTCGCGTGGCTGGTGCCGCGCCAACCCAAGGCGTGTGCGGACCTTTTTTAGGCCTCGGCGGCGCGGCTCTGCCGCCGCCGCCGCCCCGCCGGCGCCTCGCTTCGCGCGGCGAGCCCGCCGTGCCGGCCGTGCCGTCGCCGCGGCGGTGCGGCCGGGATTCACCGCCCGAGGCACCGTAGTAGGTGTCGCTTTTCGCGTGGCTGGTGCCGCGCCGACCCAAGGCGTGTGCGGATTTTCCATAGGTGTCGGCGGCGCGGCTCCGCTGCCGACGCCGCCTCGCCGTGGGCCCCCTCGGCGCGAGGCGTGCGCGGCGCGCCGGGCTCGTCCGGCGCATCACAATTCGTTCGGATTCGCGCGCGCGTGTGTTGCGTCGCTCCCGCGCCGCCCGCGGCAAGACGACGGTTGGCGTGTATCGGCGAGTGAATATCAGAATAGTTGCTCGTCAATAGTGGGTCTTGTGTGCGTTTGAGTACATTGGTTTTTAATCTTACATTTACCCAGGTAGGCTCCCCTCAACTCTCGCCCGTGCTTTGAGTTGTGCCATCTCAAACCAGTTGATGTTGTGCTCCTTATCTCCTCGTGCCCGGCTCCGTGCTCGTTTTTCTCCAGGCGCCTGGGAGGCACTGGACGAGGAGGCAGCACTGGCGGCTTCTTCTGGCGGCTTGAAATGTGCGGCCGCAGCTAGCTTCAGGGCCCCGTATCTATCGTCATTCTCGGCGACGGCGGCGGCGGGGTTGCTCGGGTAGCAATAAACTTGACCGGCTCGTCGCAGCATATCCCAGATATTTCTTGAGCTCTGTGCGCTGAGGTCGCGCCAAAATTCAAGTTTCTTTCTCTCCTCATCCGTCCAGCGGTAGAGCGGGGCATATACTGTCCCTTCCTTCTCTGTCTTCTCCTCCCACCACATGACGACTTGCGCTGACGGGGATCCACGTGTGATGGACGGTGCAAAGCAACCAACCTGTTTGTCGGTGGGGCTGTCCGCCTCGGTACCGCTGCTCTCTAACGGTAAAACGGCGGGCAAGTCTATCCAAGATGCCGGAAAGGCGATCTCGACTTGGGTATAGTTAAGCATCAGCATCCTTGCGCAGTGTGCCGCCTTGGACACGCCGTAGACGCGCAAGTTGCCCGGTTCGCCAATGGTCCCATCGGGCAGCAGGTTGGCGTAGAACTTGGTATCCGAAAATGCTGGCCGTAGGGCAAGTGTCAAGTGGGTCTCTCCATCCGGGGCTTCCACCTGCTTCTTGAGGTGGCGCTGGCTCATGTGATCTTCCCAGCGCTGGGCGACTTGCGCTGCGTCAAACTTCTTGCTCATCTCTTTGATCTCATAGTCGGGTGCGAGACGCTCGGAGGAGCCGGAGATGCAGATGGCGCTGAGCCGGTCCACCACCTCAGTGACGGTCTTCGCGGGCGGCTCGCGAGGGCTTCCATCGGGCGCGACGCCCCGACTTGCCGAATCTTCGTATCGAAAGTGTTGGTGCTCGTCTGTGTCCATAGGTGACACTTCATCGAGGTTCGCGCCGAGGACGTGGAGGCTGCCCGACATGCCGGACGGCCGTGCGCCCGAGCCATGCACGCACGAGGGATCGCCACGACCGCGTCCGCCGCCCCCCCTGCGGTGCACGCGCATATGGCCACCTGACCTGCCTACCGAGGCCGATCGATGCCGACCGTCGTCACTGAAAAGCCGACCGTCGTCATTTGGCCCCCGTCCTTCGTGGGTAGGTGGGTGGATTGGGGGGAAGTGGGAAGGGGGTTCACCAAAATCACAGGACGTACGCATACGGCTTTTTACTCCGCCCTAAAAAAGAAATCAATGTGCACGTTCCCGCGCATGATTTTTTTTGGCTCTGGCCGGCGAGCGGCGACAGTTTCTTCTTTTCCCTATCGAGGGGGTCTCAAGCTCGGAGGAACGAATTTAACGGAGGAGCCGCACATACTGGACTGGCCACTGCGCCGCGGCGCCCGCGCCGCCCGCGGCACACGGTGTAGGCCGGGGGTCCCCGCGCGCCCCCAGAGAAGCGACTGCCGGACACCCCCACACACACACACACACATACACACACACACAAACACACCACAGCAAAACCCAAGTGTGTGCTGAATGACAGTCGAAAGAGCTCACGTCCTCTCGCTTGACGCCGACCACTCCCACCCCTCGTCCTCCGCCCCCTCCTCCTCCTCCCCCAGCCGCGCGCCCTGCTGCTCGTCCGCCCTCCTCCACAGCGCCATTGCAACGTCGTCCACCTTGCCGTCGCGGTGGTACTCCTCCATCAGCGCAGTCACCGCCGCCAGCCCCGCGTCGCCGCCGCCCGCCTGCATCCGCTCAAACAGCCGCGTCACGTCGACCTCGCGCCCGTGCTCCGCGCCTAGAAGGTTCCTAGAAGGTTCCGAGAAGGTTCCTAGAAGGGTCGCCCTCGTGCCCGTGCTCCGCGCAGACGCGCAGCAGCTCGCGGCACGCCGCGCCGCTCCACCGCACGCCGCGCTCCGAGCCCGCCTCGAAAGGGCGGGTTAGCCGCGATGAGCCGCGATTAGCCGCGATTAGCCGCGATTAGCCGAGATTCGCCGAGATTCGCCGAGATTCGCCGAGATTCGCCGAGATGAAGGCGAGCCCGCCTCGAAGTGGCGGATCGCCGCCTTCATCACCGCCCGGCGGCGGCTGCCGGCGGCGGCGTCCACCGTGGCCGTGTGCGCGAGAACGAGCTGCGCGTGCAGCCGGTCTCCAAACGGGAGGTCGTGCTCGGCGGCGAGTCGGCAGACCTGCGCGGCAGAAGGAGGGCAGCGGCAGAGGCAGAGGCAGAGGCAGAGGTGAGAGAGCAGAGCGAGCGACATGGGCAGTACAAGCAGCCTCGGGGAGGAGGAGCAGGCGGCACGGGCAATGGGAGGAGGGGGGAGGGAGCCAGCAGCGGCGGGTGGCGGGGAGCAGGGTCCGCCACACCCTCCCGCTCAGCTCGGCAGCGCGGCCTCGCACGCACGCGCGAAGCAGCGCGTCGAGTGTGCCGCGGTTCGGTCGCATCGGCGCGCAGCACCAACGCTCATATGCCGCGAGCGCGCCGGCGGCATCCGCCGCCTCGGCGTGCACGGCAATCAGACCGTTGACGGCGCCGATGGTCGGACACACACCGGCGCGCGCGGCGAGCTGGAGCACCTCGTGTGCCTCGGCGGCGCGCGCCGCCTGCGGGGTGCTCTGGTCTGTGAGTCTGTGTGTCTGTGTGTCTCTTGTGTCTCTGTGTCTCTGTGTCTTGCCTCTGTGTCGCTTCAGCGCACACCGCCTCTCCATCGCTAGCGGCCTCTTGGACGAGTCTGCGGTGTCCCAGCCGCCGCCGGGCCGTGTGCCGTACCTCTGTGGTGTCCCAGCCGCCGCCGGTGCGTGTGCTCGCCTCTCGAGCTCCCTCGCCTGCACGGCCCGCCGGCGCGGCCCGGCGCCGCAGGAGCGCACCGCCGCCGCGTGGGCGCGGAGAAGGGCGAGGTACGGTTCTGGCCTCGCGGGGACGCCTAGAAGGCTCCTAGAAGGCTCCTAGAAGGCCCCTAGAAGGTTCCTAGAAGAGCCTCGAGGACGGCCCGTCCAACCAAGTAGCAAGGGCATGCCTCCTGAGGAGAGGTGTGTGGAAGAGACGTGTCGACAGGCCCACTCTCGGGTCGGTGGCAGCGAGCGGAGGCGGAGGCGTGTCTCATCGTGTCTCATCGCGTCTCGGCGTGTCTCATGGCGCCGTCGCCCTCCGCGGCGAGCAGCGAGAAGAGCTCGATGGCGCGCCTGTACGAGAAGGCTCGTAGAACGTCCCAAGAAGGTTCCTAGAAGAGCGGCGAGAAGAGGCCGATGGCACGCCGTGGCTCGTCGGCGACGATCAGCGCATCGAGCAAAATAGCGACGGCGGTGGCCGCGTCTCGCGCGTCGCCGCTGCCCCGCCGCGGCAGAGCGCGGCCGCGCTCAAACGCCTGGCGTGCCACTCACGGTGTAATCTCCCCAGATCTCCGCGCATCTCCGCGCATCTTCAGCCTCTCCCCTCTCTCGCCTGAATTGCGCCCTCGACCTCGCCGCCCACAGCGTAGGCGTGGGAGAGCGCGTTGTAGACGATCCGGTCGGGCTGCAGGCCGGCGGCGAGGCTCGCCTCGAAGACCGCGCTCGCCTCCGCCGCGTCGCGTGCCGCGGCGCATCCGCTCAGCATGGTCGTCACCACCGACGGCTCCGCCTCGACGGCGAAGCCTCGGCTGCGCGCCTCCTCCGCCACCGCCCTCAGCCGGGCCACGTCACCGGCGCGCGCGTGCGCGCGGAGCAGTGCGTGGTAGGTCCGCCCGTCGGGCCTCAGCCCGCGTGCGAGCGCCGCCTACGGCAAGCCCGGAGGAGGCTAGCCGGCGCGGCGCGGCGGCGGATGGGGCTGCGGGGTGGTCGGCAGCCTCGTGGGCGGCCGCTGCGACGCGCGGCACGCCCGCGGAGCCAATCATGTGCAAGGCGGCGTTCAGGCAGGCGCGGGCCTCCGGGTGTGCGACCCGCTCGCACCCACCACCACCACCGCTGCTGCTGCGGAGGCCCTTTTCGGATCGAAGATCGACACCCGAGGCGGGCTCGGCCGAGGCAGGGAGGGAGGCGAGGACCGCGCCGACGAGCTTGAGCTGTGTCGAGCCGAGGACCATGGCGCGGGACGACTCGCGGAAGAGGGCGGTCAGCCGGCGGAGCAGCGGCTGCAGTGGCTCACCCTCCTCCTCGATGCGGTGCAGCAGCGCCTCCGCAGCCAGCCAAAGGTCGCCACTGAGCTCAGAGGCTGCACCGTCCGCAGCACTATCGGAGGCGACGGAGACAGAAGAGGAGGCGACGGCGGCGGAGGTGTCGGCAGCGCGAGCCGCGTGCTCGACTGGCAGCGAGGCTGCGATGGCGTGCATCTCCGCCAGAAGCATCTCTGCCTTCTCCACAGAGGGCGGGTGCCACTTGTGCATCGCTCCCCTGCGACGCGGCCGCCTGAAGGCCAGGCCGTCGCAGGCAGCGCGGGTGCTGTGGCTGCGGGGCAGGGTCGACAGCGGGGCCGCACAGCCGAATGCGCGAGCGATCCACCGCGATCGCGGCAGCATGCCTTCGCAGGGAAAAAACCTAGGCACCGCTGCTGCCCACCAAACCGACTCCCAAACGCCGGTGGCACAGTCCGAGCTGACCGTTCTTCACCTCAGATACATACATACCCCGGTAGCTCACCAGTCTCACACACAGGCCGATGTCAGGCATTTGGAAGTCCGATAGAATGATGACGTCCACTCGAGAACCCCGCGGAATCCTCACGTGGAGAGCCCGCACTCCCCGCCTTCCTAGACATACTTTACCTATACGCGGCGGCTCCTCTGCGCCTTGCCTGCAAGCGGCAACCTTTTTTTGAGACAAAAGTACTGTACGGTACTAGCAACTAGGCTCTAGGGTCCCTAGTACGCTAGGACATGCAAGTCACATTTGATATCTGTTCAGAGAGACCCTTGCCGCGTCCCGCCCGCAGTCGCTGTGCGCCTGCGTGCGCTCTTCATCGAGCGAGTCTGCACATCGAACGACCTCGGTTTAGCGCAGCCCATTTGGACGGCGAAGGGCACGTCCAGCGGGCAGGAGTCTATTTGGGGTTTGATGTTGGTGGAGCGGTGGGCGCCGGTGGAGAAGCCCTTGATGGTGCGGTTGGTGTTGCCCGACTTGATCGAGTTGCCGCCGACGCTGTACCACTGCTTCGCCGTCGCAAAATCAGGCACAGCCTCGGCCAGAGCTGCCTCCATCGCCTGCTGGTCGAGGTCGACGCGGCTGTGCGGGACGACGTCGGAGCCAGGGATGTAGCCCGCGATGAGCGGGAACGCGGGCCCGTCGTCGCACGGCGCCGTCATGGCGTGGAGCGGGTCGCCGTCCGCGTCGACGAGGCCGCCCACGTGCTCGCACGTGATGCCGAGGCAGGCGTACGTGCTCTCGAAGGCGGCCTTGACGGCTTGGAAGTCGGGGAGGTCGCCCTGGTCGAACAGGCCGAACTTCATGTCGGCGCTGATGGTCGCGGCGGCGGCGGCGTCGCACTCGTGGACGAGGGGCAGCACGGCCGCCGTGAAGATGGCACCCTCGGCCGCGTTCTTCTGCGACCGCTCCTCGGGCTGCTCGCCGATCTTGTACGCGTAGCGGAGGGAGCCCTGCACGAGCGGCACAGTCATCAGGCTGATGATCTCGTCCACGACGGGGCGGACGCGGTCGCACTGGCCGGTCTGGAGGAGGCGCTCGCCCTCCTGGAACTGCGCCAGCAGGAGGTGGTTGATCTGCGACGTGCCCGACGTCTCGCCCCCGTTCAGGCCGCAGGTGCCGAAGTTCGCGCACCGCTTCTCCGCCAGCCGCCACACGAGCTTGCCGGACGGGCTGCCCGACGCGCCCTCGAGCGAGCCGGCGTAGAAGGCGACGCCCTCGTCCCAGGCGTGCACCGAGCCGCCGTTGAGCGAGAACTCGTTGCAGTTGTCCCCCGTGCAGCTCGTGCAGTCGTCGATCGCGTCCTCGAACTCGCGGATCACGTACATCCACACGTTCATGTACGCCGACCCCTTCTTGGCCGCCTCGATCCGAGCCGCGGGGCCGAGCGACGCGAAGTTGTTCGGACCGTGCCGCCCGCTGGCGAAGGCCATGTCGGCGCCGTCGAGGGCGGCGCTCACCAGCCTGTCCGCGTAGTCGAAGTCTCCGTAGTAGCCGTAGAAAGCCTCGTAGGTCTTGTACGGGCAGCCCGGGCAGTTGTCGTACATCTTGCCCTGGGCGCCGGTGGAGAAGCCCTTGATGGTGCGGTTGGTGTTGCCCGACTTGATCGAGTTGCCGCCGACGCTGTACCACTGCTTCGCCGTCGCAAAATCAGGCACAGCCTCGGCCAGAGCTGCCTCCATCGCCTGCTGGTCGAGGTCGACGCGGCTGTGCGGGACGACGTCGGAGCCGGGGATGTAGCCCGCGATCAGATCGAAATGGTCGCCGTCGTGCTCGCCTGCAACCAGCACGAGCCCGGCCAATGCCAGGATGTGCGCCCACATTGTCCTCGCGTGACAGGAGCCCCCCCGAGCGGTTGGTGCAGCTTCGGCACCTTTGCGCAACCTTTGCACGCGGAGGCACCCCTGCGGTACCTTCCGCCGTGTTTGCCCGTCGGTGTTTCGTGAAACGTTTCTGGCAACGTTTCTGTGGCGAACGGCGTGCATATCCTCTCTCGAGGTTCTCGAGGTGGATATCCTTTGGCCGCGTTGGGTAGCGAGGATTGGTGTAACCCGAGCCACGGAGGCGTGTTTTCTGACGGCCGACCGTCAGTGCACGGAGTTGCCCCTTCTCCGACTGCCCCGGCTAGTTCCCGAGGTCGTCGGGTGTGACCCCTGCGTCCCCCGAGACCTAGCGCGGGTGGGTTGGAGGGGGGCTCGCTGCATATCCGCGGCAAATGGCGTACAGCATCGGCACGGCGTTCGGGACTACTCGCAGAATGTGGGTAAACCATAGTACCGTATACGGTACTATGAACAGAGACCCATAAAAGTCGCCGCGGCAGTCCACGCCGAGCCGGCCTGCTGCCGGCTTGCACGGCAGCCTTTTCCTCTCGACCAGCCTCAACTTCCGTACAGTCAACATTTTGTCGCTGCGTGCTCGTGGCGAGCTGTGGCGGCGGTCGAAGTTGGCCCAGATTCGACGACGAGCGCCGGACGATAGTACCGCCTCTGTTCGCCCTGTGCATGTCAGACCAGGCTGCAGCAGGGCACTACCATCGTGCTGCCCTGCTGCAGCCTGACCCTGCCCACTGTGCACAGCCGCCAGAGCACCACCACCGCCCGGCATCGTGTCACGGCGAGCTCCTTCTGCGCCCGCTCGCGAGGCTCTCGCGCTGGCACACTTTGGCCATCTGCTGCTCGCGTTCGGCGAGCTCTTCTCCGCAATCCTGCCACGGTGCCGCCACCACACACCTTCTGGCCGGCCTGAGCCGCGCGGACTCGCCGGCGGGGGCAACGTGTCGACCTCTCTCTCTGGTGCACCACGGGCCGCGACGGCCTGCGAGCAGCTGGCGCGAGGAGGCAGTGTGCCGGCACAGTCGAGCCGCAGCATCGGGTTCTTGATGCTTGTGGGGTCGAGTTTGACCTTATGTGGCATAATATGCAACAATAAGGCTATGCTCTCACCCAGCCTTTTGAGATATGATCCCTCAAAGTCGAATTATGGTTTACTGGTGACCACATAGAGCCGTAGTACCGTGGTACCGTCGTGTCTTGTTCGCGTTTCGTCCGACGAATACTTTAAAGTCTCGACAATCACTAAGCTGCTTATGTGGCACCGCAGAGGCTCCCTTGGGGATGCCTGAGGCCACCCCAACCACTCACCAAGCCTTGGAGCCAGTGGGCCGGCTCCAGCGGCGTCGGCACCGTGTCCACCTCGTTGGTGGACTGCGCCTCGCGGATCGCCGCGCGCGTCTTGGTCGTGCACTCTTGCGCAAACTCGTTGGTCTGCGAGAAGATCGGCACGCGGCCGTCCTCGCCGCCGCCCTCGCCGCCGCCGGCGCCGGTGGCGTCCTCGCCGCCCTCGCCGCCCCCGCCGCCCCCGCCGGCCGTGGTCGGCTTGGTGCGCGCACCTGGGGCCAGGTGCACGCTCAGCGTCTCGAAAGTCGGGTCCGCCGCCGGCCGCATCATCGGCGGCAGGTTGGCGAGGCCGCGCGAGAGCAGCGAGAGCATCTCCTCGTCCATGTTCTCGACGACGTTGACCACGACCTTGAACTTGCCCTCCATCATGAGGGTCATGGTCGACATGTCCCCGTCGTACGCCTGCCCGAGCGCCGCCTGCAGCGCACCAACCTTGCCCGGTGTGGGCACGGTCACGGTGCGCGTGCCTCCACCCTGCTCCACCACGGTGACCTCGACCGAGCCTGGCGGCACGTCGTCAATCTGGATCGTAAAGTCGCCGAGCTCTCCCAGAGTCACCTCATTGTTGGTCAAACCCTTGAAGAACTCGGCATACGGCATCGAGCAATCCCCAAACACGAAAGCCGTGTTCTCCTCCGTGGTAACGATCTCGCTGGGCAGCTTCTCGGCAATCACTGAGCCTACATCGCGCACAAGCCGGTCGCCGTCGATGTCGAATACGTGCGAGACGCCCTTAGGCAGACGCAGCTCGACGGTAGGCATGGAGACAGACAACTGGCAAACTCGCTCCCGGTCTCGTTGTTCCCGCCCGGACGAATAAAAATCCCGTGGTACCTTCGGAAGTTATAAAAGCTACTAGTACGTACACTGAAAAAGCCGCGACGGGGCAGAACCCTCCCGGAAAAAGAAGTCAGACGCGCCCGTCGAAAATCGTCAGGCGCACGTCACCGTCGGCGGTCGTGCATGCGAAGCACCACGCGAACGCCTGCTCTACACCCGTCTCATCTCCTCCGTGCGTGGGGCCGCCGATTATCAGGATCGCGCAAGCCGGCACCGTCCAAGGCAAAGGGGCTGTACCGCTTCCTCGGCGGATTCTATACATTTCTCGTGATCTCCTCAGAGGCCTTCCGGTTCGGCAGCCTCCACGAGACGCAAGGTGCATACAATATGAGTGGTGCCACCGCGGATGCCGCCACCGCCGGGTCCTCGTCCTCGAGTGCAGAGGCGCGTGCTGGGGCCTCGCCTTCGAATGCAGTGCCGCCTACGACCGGCATCGCATGCACGGGCTGGCGTCAACCCGGCTCCGAGGGCAAAGAGTGGTTTGAGACGCTTCAGGGCTCGGAGCATTGGCACCGGCTCTACGATCTGGGAACGGGCGGCACCTTTGGCCCGAGAGACGTGTACGAGGCGCTCGTCAAGCCGGCATTCCCAGCACAGTACCAACCGAGCTACGACGCGTACGTGCAGGCTCAAGAAGGACATCTTCCCGGGCTGCAGCTTATGGCAGAGGCGATGCAGACGCAGCATGGCGCGCTCTATATTGGGCAGCAGAGCTGTGTCCGATCCCTTGCGTGCAGTCCAAGTAGCGGCCAGGCCCATCTCGGTGGCATGTGCTTTGGGTGCGCCGCTCTCGAATTCAACCGGTCCTTTGTCAGGCGCGTTGAGAGTGCGCGTTGCCCCCCAACGGATGAAGGACACAAGATTCAGCTCATGACACGAGACGAGATGGCGGGGCGGTTGGAGGAGCGAGCAAGGGCTGCTCACAATGCTACGCGGCACGAGGCGCGTGCAGTACTGACTCTTGAGGATGCCAAGTGCCGCTATGAGGAGCGTGCACGGATGGCTTTGGGGGAGGCGACGGGCATGATGCGAGACTTGCAGCAGGCTGCAGCTGAGGCACAGCAGAGAGAAGAGGAGCTGCAGGGCAAAGTAGCTGCAGCGCTGGCGGCACAGGAGCTCGCCGAGGCATCCACCTCTCAGCGACAGTCAGAGCTGCACGCAATGGCACTTGCGTGCGCGGCCGTGCAGGAGCAGCTGCAGGAGGAGCGGGAGGGGCGCCTTCAGGCAGAGCAGTCAAAGAAGCAGACCCTCGATAAGGCTGCCACGGAGCGGCAGCGCCTGGAGAGAGCTGCCCTCACGGCTGCCAGCCGGCACGAGGCAGAGGTGGCTGCACTGCAGGCTCGCCGCGCTCACGACCTCGCAGTGCTCGAGCGACAGAACGTCGAGGCCATGACGGCGCTCTCGCGCCGCCTGGGAGAGCAGTCGTCACAGCTCGAAAGAGCCCACGCGGAGCAGCTGACGGCACTGATCTTTGTAAATCAGAGTCAGAGGGACGAGGAGACTGCCCGGCTCGGGGCTACTATGCGGGAGGCGATGCAAGCGCAACAGGTCCAAGTAGCAGAGCTCCAGGCAGAGCAGGTGCCGGCCTCCCGCTTGCCCCCCCCTTCTCCACCCTCACCGCCAAAAAGGAGCTGCGAGGAGTCTGGGAGGAGTCTGGTGGCGTTAGGACCCTCGCCGCCATCCCCCTCCCCGCCGCTACCCTCGCCGCCACCGCTGAGCCCGCCGCCTCCCTCGCCGTCCCCACCCTCGCCGCCGCCACTCTCGTCGCCGCCACTCTCGCCACCCTCACCGCCGCCACCCTTGCCGCCGCCACCGCCGCCACCCTCGCCTCCGCCACCCTCGCCGCCACCCTCGCTGCCACTAATCTCCTCGCTGCCCTCACATTGCTGTCCTCTCACCCGGGCCGCCGCCCTCGCCCCTACAGCACCCTCCCACCCCACGCAGGAGGCCGCCCTCGCAAAGCTGCGCAAGGAGCACGCGGCGCAGCTGGCAGCATCTGAGGCCAGTGCTCTCGCCAAGCGCGATGCGGAGCGCGCCGTGGAGGCGGCCAGGCTTGCCTCGCTGCCGCCCATGATCCAAAATCTCATCCAGGCGTCCAAGCTCGGCCGTCTAGATGAGAGCGCTCCCACTGTCCAGCTGCTGCATGACATCTCCGTGTGCCTGAAGAATGGCACGTCCCGTGGCCGTATTTTGAGCCCGGCGAGCAAGGTCTTCTACGGCATGCTCCTCAACAACGGCTCGGCGTGGGCTCACAAGTTTGTGTCGGGCGTCCTATTTGGGCCGGACCTGCGCACGAGCCAGAAGGCGCGGGCGGCGTTTGACACGATGGTGCTGGAGGATGGCCTCAAGAAGGAGAGCCTAACAGGGCTTTTTAAACACCTCAAAAACTACGCGCCTCTGCAGACCGTGCCTGGCATCATTAGCGAGGACGCCACCACTGGGCTGCGCCGCATCGACGCCGAGATGCTCGACAAGATGGAGCAGAACACGGACGCGGACACGTGGAAGGCGGGCGTCAAGCTCTGGGGCTTTGATGGTACGAACTCGTCGAACACGAGGAGCATCTACTCGGTCGAGGATCTGCGAGTGCTCATCGAGGAGAAGACGGCGCTGGCGGGCTACGTCTATGTCTACACGTGGGTGCCCGTGTTGCCGGGTGCCCCCTGGTTTCCGTTTGCCATCATCGCTACCGACAACAGGTTTGACAACGAGTGGGTCTTTGCACGCTGGAGGCTGATGCACACGGCGTGCAGTGAGCTTGAGCTCCCCCTCGCGGGCCACATTTCCGATGGTGACGCACGGCTGCGCAAGTGTGACTTCCGTGTCAACTACGAGGCGAATCACACCAAAGATCCTCGGGAATGGGTGACGGCCGTGCACAAGCTAGACCACCCCTTGCTCTTCTTGAGCTTGGCGGAGACCACAGAGGGCCTCGTCATCTACGGCCACCAGGACTACATGCACTTGGCGTGGCGCTTGCGCGTGCAGCTACTGAGCCCAGCGAGAATCTGGGACTTTGGCGGCTACCACACCCCGCAAGGCATCGCCCGCCGCCGCCTGCAACAGCGTCCGTTCCCCCCTCTGCACATTAGTCCATTCCGACTCACCCGCCCCCACCCCTTCCCTTCACTCAGGTGCCGACGAGGCGTTGCGCTCCTTTGCCACCGCCGCCCACCTCGACAGCATGCGGGACCCCAAGGACTTCAAGATGTTCAACGGCAAGGACCTCGACCCGCACAACAAGCAGCACTGGCCCGGCGTGCTCAAGATCTTCAGCAAGAAGACTGCTGACGAGCTGAAGCGGCGGATTGACGCCGGCGAGACTCACCTCAATGCCACCTTTGCCGTCGTGAGCGTCTTCAGCACGTACCTTTCCTCGTGGCTCGATCGCGGGCGCGAGCCGCTGGACGTCATCGAGGACGCCGCCTTGGTGCTGGGCTTTGTGCTGCACTGGCGCCGGCACGTGACCTCCACCCGAGGCCTCACTCTCGAGGCCAACTTTCTGACCCGCGAGACCTTCCTTGACATTGTGACGTCGTGCCATGGCTGCATTTTGCGATTCATTCAGTTCCGTGACAACTTTGGTGGCCGGTTCAAGCCGGACGGGCCGCGCTTCACGTCGGCCTTCTCTGAGTACTTCTTCCAGTACGGGCGGATGGCGCAGACAAACTCCCCGGTGGTGTCGGTGATGGGCTGGGCGCGGCATCTCGATCACTATCTGTACCAACAGCATCTGGAGGCTGCTCAGCCGGGGTTGAAGATCCCGGCCTCGTGCCGCGGCATCCCGCACTCGATTGAGCGGATCAAGATCGACACCCCGCCGCCAGGCTGGTTCCCTACGAACCCTCAGATGATTGCCGCCCTCGACAGGGGCCTAGCTCGTGCGATTGAGCTCCTTCAATCCTGTGGAGTCCGCGCCAACCTCTGTGCGCGGACCGGCTTCTTCAAGCAGCCGTGCTTGCACTTTCCTCTGGCTGACACCTATGTCCAGGGTGGCGCGTCGCTGGAGGAGCCGGGAGAGAAGGAGGATGATCCAAACGGCACACCCGATGCTGAGCCGGCCGAGCTGACCGCCATGGGCGCACAGGATGCTGCAGATGCCGAGGCCGTGCTGAACCAGCTGATGCGGAACGGGGCCAACGTGGCGCCTCCAACCGGCGGCGAGGAGGGCAGCAGCTCAGAGTTTTTTGAGGAGATCCGTAAACTGCTGGCAGATTTCAACGTCTCCATCCAGGAGGAGTCAAAGGATCGCAAGCTCCGCTTCCACGTCAAGCGGCTCATCAAATCCCATCAGCAGCGGGGCGAGGATGTGGATGAGGAGCTCGACTTTTACATGGATGATGATGACGGTGACCACGCCCTTGCCCGCCTGTCACACACACACATAAGACGTGCATCCTCATCTCTCCCTCTTCTCTTTCTCTTCGCAGTTGCGGTGCTCTTCACCATGGAGGACAGCTCCAAGGTCTTTGCCATCGGCAACATTGAGCAGGTGGCCGTCGCCGACGGCACGGTAGACGCGCGCCGCGCCACTGGCAGCTCCAGCGCAGAGTACCTGCGCCAGCTCTCCATGAGTCAGCGCAGCAACGGGGTCTTCATCAACGACCCCAAGGGCCTCTTTATCCTCCGGTGGTACCGTGAGGTGAAGGGTGACGGGACCCCCCCAGACGGCCCGCGCTACCAGAACAGAGCGTGCAAGTACTACAAGCTGACGAGCGACAACGATGGGGAGGCCTTCCGCTGGACCAGCAACTACCAGATCATCAGCAAGGTGTACCTGAAGAAGCACTCCACCCTGCCTCTCTGCTATTCTCTCAGTGCGGCAGACAAGAAGATGGTGACGTCCACCATGAAAAAGATGGTGGGACCGGAGGCAGAGTAGAGCTAGAGGCTAGAGTATGTGTAGTAGAGTCCTGCTAGTC